GTCTTTAAACATGTTAGTGACGAAAATTTCCGTCTTTGAAGTCGAGTTTTTTTTAGTGCATTGACATTAATTGTATGATTTATATGTCATATATCATAAATCACATAATAACTTAAAAACCTAAAGCAAAAAATATAAATTTGGATTTTTTTAGAGATTATGTGGTTAAAATGTAAAGAAATATTATGGATTCACTTGAAAATTATATTATTAGGAGAATGCGTGATTGAAAATATGAGAAAAAATGATGTTGTGATAAGTTGTGCTAAACAAATGCTTAATATTCCATTAAAAAAAACCACTATCGTGTCGTATTGATTAATTTTTTAAAGTGTCTTGTAATCAAACATGATACTGCACATACATAGCAAGCATACGTCACAGAATCAACATTACATTGCGGTTATATGTAATATTCAGAATCCAATTAGAATATTGCATAGTATCTCATGTTGCATTCATTTCAATGTTATAATCTCGCGTTACCCAAATTATCTCTCTAGGTTTCAGAATTTATATCATAATATATATAGTATTTTTGATATTTTTAAAAAGCATAGTATTTCCAGAATTGTTATTCATATGGAACTTTTTCGACAAACCAAGATAAGTTAAATAGACAGGACACAATTGGAGTGAACTAGCCCACGACAAACAAACTTACAACTGGAGGCTTTATAGGCCTAAACACTTACTACACCGCAAAGCTTAAATTGCTTGTTGTATCTAGGGGATGTCAAATTGATGGAAATGGGACTCATTCAAAACTAGTTTGCACAAACCGATTACCCAAGCCCAATACTCAAATGACCCTAGAATTTAAATAAAATTAAAATCAAAAGTAAAAGTAAAAATAATATAAAAATGAGGTAGTAAATATGACAGAAGATTGTCTCCTCTCGTCCTGCCTTGCTCCACCCTGCCTTGAGCGGTGACTGTGGTGAGAACGAGACGACAATATCCTTGGCAGGGCGAGGACGAGGGCCTTTGCCATCCCAAGCTATATCCAATAAATGTTGGCAAAGTTCGTGGGGCTTCGAGATCATTGCCATGTGGTCAGCATCTTTTATCTCTTTCACTATTGTTGCTCCAGAAATTTTGATTTGCCAACGTTGGAAATCTAATTTTAAGGTTTTATCCTCATCGGGCATGATGTAAGCACGCTTAACAGATCCATACATTTCATTGGAAAATGCACTCTTCTTTGACAAATCATCCCAGAAATTAGAGATTGGCCTCATCAACCCTTTTGCTAACACCACATCCTACCATAATGGATTGAAAACATTTATTGTTCACTCAACGTATATAAGTGTTTCACTTTGATTACTCAACTTTTCCTTTGTTGTAAATTAGTAATTAAACTTAGTTTCAGTATTTTTATTTCAGGCATTTAATGCACTGTTTTTATAGTCATGTTTGATAAAAAACAAAATTAAAAATCTTTCAGTTCACCTCAACATTTTTAAAATATTTTTTATTTTATACCTCAGGAGGGCAGAGTTGATATAGTTTGGATGATATGAACTGCGGACCAAATAGCATTGATACAAGATGATCTTCGGGTCTACCATACGGTATGAATTGATTGTCCATAATTTCTTCCTTCGAGATTCCTTCAAACACCTGCGAAGCAAGTTAATGCAAGTAATTTAAGTAAAATATATTAACAAAAACAGAATCGCTTTGTTTCATCAAATAAAATTTGCTATATCATCGTTGTTTTTGTTATTTTTTTTTTATAAAAATGAATAATGTCATTGTGTTAATATTTTTGCTGAAATTCATAACAAAGTTTCGCAACACGATTTATTTCAAATTTGAAGTACCATTTTCTTCCTTAGTAATTTTCAATTCTAGGATAATAAGCTATTTCTACGTGCAGACACATTTTCACCTTCTCCATAAAATAGATTGGCATATGAACAGTATCAGGCATCACAGCCGCGACAAAAACAGCAATAGAAACCTTTTGAGGGTATTTCTCCATTGCAAAAGCCATGTTCATGCCACCAAGACTATGTCCAACGAGAACTACCTTTTCGTCAGGTGGAATCGACTCCATCACCTCGAACAACGGCATTGTGTAGTCAGAAAATGTTCGAAGCTCATCTAGTCTTTTTGGGTTGATGCCGGAGGCGCCAAGATCAATCGCCGTGACCTGGTGGCCCTCAGCCTCCAGCAGCATTTGTAGCCTGTACCAGCACCAGGCTCCATGGCATGCACCATGTACTAGAACAAAATGTTTTTGTTGCTTTTCGCCTGCCATTTTTCTTTTCCTTAACTATTATATATCATATCCAGACATACGTCTGTATATATAGAGAGAGAGCAAGCACTCTTTGCTCTGTGAGTGAGAGAGACAGAGAGAGAGAGAGAGAGAGAGAGAGAGAGTTGATATCTAAAATGATAAATTATTTGATTATGAGAAGTTCCTTTATTACTCCACACGAGAATAACAACTTTACAATTAACTACAACAATAGTTAATCGTACATATCTAATGTGTGATAAATATTAAAGGTTTTAACGTGATTCACGACAATCAATTGACTATCTCCTAAAAATGGTTATCGTTAATGTATTTTCCTAGAGAAATTATTAATATGATTCACGGCAATTAATGAACTATTGCATTTTCCTTTTCAAACCTATATAAAAGGAATCAAACCATCTGTCATCATTCATGTTCATGCAAACTTATGATTAATTAAATCAAGGGATAATTACAACAGCCGTTCCAACTTTTCTCTTTTTCGTAGTCTTTAATTTTGCAATTAAAGATTTGGGATTGTTGGTTGTGCAAATAAAAGTTTTGGGTGTAATTTGCAAAAAAAGAAAAAAAAAAGTTTGGGATGACAACTGCAATTATTTCTTTTTGATTTTGACAATTTTTTACTATTTTTAACCGTCAAACAAATAGAATTGGACGGCATGAGGGTTTTTCACAGAAAAAAGGTTTTGTTTCGCACAAAAGATTTCAAATAGGGGGCATTCTAAGATTTAACGACTATTTTTTGTTCTTAAACTAAAATAAAGCTCAATACCTAAATGTAGAAGGATGAACATTAATTTATTTTAAGTAATTGTTAGGAGAAGTTTCCTTCTCTCAATGACAACAAATACAATGAATTTACAGTAAATTACATCAATTTGAATTAAACAATTAACTTGTATTGAAAAAAAGTTTGGCAGTTGGAGTATTAAGGTTGTAACGTGGATTGACTTTGAATTCCGTTAGATAAAAATAACATGAATAATTAACTTGTATTGAAAAAAAGTTTGGCAGTTGGAGTATTAAGGTTGTAACGTGGATTGACTTTGAATTCCGTTAGATAAATGACATGAATAATTAACTTGTATTGAAAAAAAGTTTGGCAGTTGGAGTATTAAGGTAGTAAAACAATTATTAATATTATTATTATAGCATATCCATTTTCCGTCAACTCAGGTTGGTTGTGAATTTTTAAATATTCAAGATGCTAAGGTTTCGCCTTCGTACTGTCGCGTAGTTGGGAAGGACGGAGCACGCCCACATGTGTCTAAAACATTGTCGTTTTGGTCTTTTTATACTTTCAGGGGCAGAAAACGGCATTGTCTAGTCTTCATTTGAATTGAACGATACCATATTAATAAAAGTAGAGTTGTCGTTTATTTTATTGTATGTTTAATATGAAGAAATGACAACGTTTGATCCTTGGTTTGAACCAAACAACGAGAATGTAGGGTAAGGAGTTTGATGGCTGGCTCACTACTTACTCTACTAGAGTATCGATGTTATTAATAATTTTCATAATTAAATGTCTCGGACACTCTCATTATATAAAACGTATTACGCCAATAACAAAATAAAACGAAAAAGAAGCATAAGACCAAAAAGTGTTTGAATGAAAATTAAAAACACACTCATGGGTCTTGAACCCAAAATCGCTTAATTAGAAATTAGACGACTTAAAAATAGACTTTTTTATGGCATGCCATAAATGTATGCCGTGAATCAGTGATTACTTTAATTATTTTTTGGCATAAATTATGAGCATGCCGTAAAAACTAAATATTTACCATT